ATGCGAATATATAATGTTCATATAATAATAATAATTCTTACAATATGTAATAATTACAAGTAGTTATGTATATTCTAAGGAGAAGTGTCTCACTCGGATATTTCGTGAGCCACTTCTTTACTTATATGGGAATAGATTGCCAGCCTTGTCTTATCTTTGGATTGCACGAAAGTATAAAATATACGAAATATTTCAAGTCAATGTATTCATCTTAGAAATTTGCACAGAAAATTTTCAAATTATTTTTCTATATGATATATATGACTTCAATAAGACAAAACGCCATTTTTTTCTATGATCATTTTGGGTTTGTTTTGCTTTTTTCTGTAACTATTATTAAGAGCTGTATGCCGTTAGCCCTATTCCTGACCCGGCCAGCTGACGTTGGTTGGGCACACGTGTTCATATAGCCAGGCATTGCGAAGCGTGCGCGCGAGTTTGGGTCTCAATTCGGATTTGTAAGCCGAGCCCAAGGCCCGACAGTGGTTAACTGAGCTGCATCTGTGTATCCTTGTCGGCATCACACCTTCCTCACTCTTGCAGTCCATCAGGCAGCAACCCTTTCCAATTTGTCTTGGCGCACTGCTGTCCATGTCCTTTAAGCGGTTTATCCTGCTGTTGCGCTTGCCGCTCTTTTTCACTCTTTGCTCTTTGCTCTTCCTCACTCGTGCTCATCGGAAGTCAGCACTAACTGTTGAAGAAGGAGGAGGGGCAGCAGGAGCGGGAACGGGAGCGGGAGCGGGAGCTCTCTGCTTCCTTGAAATTGTATAGTAGTTGGCGAGAGCAGCAAAATATCGAACCGTAAAAGAAACAGCTACAACAAAAACAAACCCACAAAGGAGAACGGCAACAGCAACAGCAACAGCAGCCAGAACGGGAACGGGAACGGGAACGGGAACGGGAAAGGCAACGGCAAATGCTACCCAATTTTGAAGTCAAAGTAGCACCAGATGACGGCATGCGCCGTCCGTTTGCTCTGAGCGATCCTTGGGCAGCATATGTTGCCCCTTGGCTTGAGTATTGGTTCTATCTCGCTCTGGCTGCCGGTCTGCGGGTCTAGTCCTTTTTGGCTGGCTTTCACTCGCACGCCACGCGGYTCGTTTCCAGCAAATAATAATAATAATGATAATTTCTTATTGTGCTCATGCGCAGGTCGCATCGAAGGTGCGCCAGTTGGTTACAAAAGCCGCAAAGACGCAAATATATACTAGGAGCTGATCACTACTGGTTAGTAGACAATTCTAGATGTCCTGCGGCAGCGAAATGCGGCAGTCCAACGATTACAGCTCTCAGTTCTCATAGTGCTCAGCATCAATCAAAACGAACGTCCAAAATTGACTTCAATTAAGTCAAGCTAAGACATTAATCGGGAGACGATAAAGTATATGCCGAAGCATTCGTAGAGACGAGAAAATTAGCATGGATCAAGGCCAAAGCGATTAAAATCATATTAATAATAACAACATTGTTGCGCAGGAAAAAGTAGAAAGCTCTACTAGAGCGCAAGCCAAGTGCTGCTGGGATTCCAGCGAAAGGAGCATCATTAAAGTGTTGGCCGGTGTTACCTGGACATTCACCAAAAATGACCTGCAGCGACGAGCCATTAATACGCTAAAAATATAGATCAAATATTTGTGTTCGTAATGCTTAAAAGATAATTTAAGTGCTATAAATTACTCTGTTCTATTACATTGTCTATCTATAGCAAATAGCTGATAGTATATATGGTATATATACTTATTTCATATACTTATTGTTACTGATTTCATATATCGGTATCTCGTATACACCCAAATTGTTTCTAATTTGCACTTTTCCTTCACTTGGCATTAGACAATCCAAACTGGGGAAAAGTCTTGGGCTCAGTTCGTCACCAGGTTCCGTCAGTTGTCTAGAAAATGCTCAACAGATGTTGGAGTAGGCCTTGTATAGGTATCGCAGCGTTTCAGCTACAACAACAGCAACAACAACAATACCGCGATCATCAACAACAACTGTTACGAGTCGTAAAAATAAGATAAAATTCAGATGCTTGCTTACTGGGTAAAATTGCGCCATTGAGCCAAAAAAAAAAAAAAAACTAAAGTAGGAATTTTCTGTTCGTAGTTTCCTATGCACTGAAAATGATTTCAGAGCAACAAACTGCGCAGTAGCAAAGTAGCTACAAGCAAAGCGTGTCTAAATTGTGCTCAGTGTTTGGGCGCAGGTCAAAATAATTTGGCTCTCTGCGGAAATGCATGAACGTAGACGAGAGAGACAGAGAGAGCGGAATGAGCGAGCGAGTGAGTGAGTGTCCACCAGCCAATGCTGTCTCTTTCGATGGCCAGCTGTTGCCTCTCTCTGGTCGTTGTTTGACTGATGTTTAGTTCGTGTGTGTTGCCACGTGTCGCTGACAAAGCCCATTGACCAATTGGCAAGAGGAGTCGGCATTTAAATATTTATACAAATTAGATGCAAGAGAGTTTGAAAAGTGAACTTCGTGTTTAGGCCAAACGAAAAATGCTTGCCAAAAATTATGCCAAAGGAGCAGCTGTAAAATCAATCAAAAACTTGTCAAATAAATGTCAATGCGCTTCGATTGCAATTCCTTTTCCGCTGACGAATGCGCATGCATAACCAATGAGCCCAATGCATCCTGTTCAAGCGTATCCTTTGGGTGCATAAATTGTCATTTACATACATATATTTGCGTACGATACAATCGAAAATTCTCTTTTATGAATAGTTCAAGTCCTACTTAACTACAATTGGCGCGCTGAACGCGCAGATACTCAGCGACCTGGGCGACGAGCGCATCGCTGCATTGCTGTGACCGAGCTAATTCATCCTGGGCCAGGCGGCGCGTGCGCACCAGCAACAGGGAGGCATTGTGCATGGCCTCAGCGAGTTCTTGATTGATGACTGCGATGCCGCGCAGAAAGCAACTGTTGCTGTTATCAAAGCTAATGCCCATTGGTGCCAGTGCCACGCCCATTTGTTGATTCTGACAAACGATTGGCAGCTGCGCCATTTGCTGTACAAAGCTCTGCACGCTGGCCAAGGCTTGCTGGCCCTCGGCGCGATACGTTGCAATCATATTGCTCAGCTGCTCCGTGCAGCCTCTGAGCTCATCTGTAACGTTGAGTGTGAAGTCTTGCAGATTCCAGGCGGCATTGCATCCAGGATTGCCCAGCAGCACTTGATTAGTGTCGTCGATGGCTATGCTCATCTCGGCCATGGCATTGGCAGTCAGCGCTTCCAGATCGTCCAATATGCTCGTCAATGTGCGCTCGATATTCGCTTGCAGCTGCGTGGACGTCTGATCACTTATATTCACGGCCATATTCGACAGCTGATCAACTACCATGTTGATTGGTCCATATTCCGTAGTCTCCGTCGTCTCCGTGCTGTCTACAGTCTCCGTTGTTTCCGCAATGCTGTTTGTATTGCTGGCGATCTGCGCCTGGGTGTACTATAAAATAGCCAACATTATGAAACCATACAGATCATTTTCCTTGATATACTCACTGCCCAGGTCAGCAGGAGTACGCTTAAAATTTGAATTGTTCTGCCCATGATGCTTCGCTTTCTATTGCTGGCCAATGCAATGGCAATGCCAAATATATATTGCCGTGGAGTTTTGATAAAAAATGATAAAGCACAAGAGCCATACACAGCTTCTCAATTTTCATAATGAAAAACTGAAACAAACAATGAGATAAGATCAAAAAATTTAGTGCACCGATATCGTTGCACACTTACTAGGCATTTATATAACTATATTTTATATATAAAT